CCCCAGTTCCCTCAGCCGCTCCTCATCAGACTTGTTCTCCAGACCCCTCACCAGCCTCGTTGCCCTTCTCTGGACACGCTCCAGCACCTCGACGTCCTTCTTGTAGTGAGGGGCCCAAAACTGAACACAGTGTTTGAGGTGCGGCCTCACCAGTGCCGAGTACAGGGGCACGATCACTTCCCTACTCCTGCTGGCCACACATGCAACGAAAGGCGCCTGACCCAGATTTAATAACGTGCTGTGGCTGAAATCCACCGCGTACAGAAATGTTAGACTCCGCAAAACTTGGAACAGCCGTTAAAGTCTTGCTGCGTCGCCTAAACTCCCTGAAGCGTAGACAGGGTATCTGTCCCTGCGACAATCTGAGTTCAAAAGCAGACGATAAGCACGTTGCGTGACGGGTAGCGCGGGAGGCGGGAGGCGAGGGGGTGTGAGCTGCTGTCTGTACTCGTGGTTTGTCGGTTGCGGGTTGTTTGCCGGCTGGGTCGTGACGATCTCGGCTGTTTCCTCCTTCGAGGACTCTGGGTGCAGAGTTGCCTGACGGCGCTGATACGAGCCGGTGACGCTGGGCTGATCCACACCGAGCTGCAGCCTCGTGCTGTCTCCTGCCTAGAGCGAGCCTTTGACGATGCCGGCACGCTCCTCGGCGGTTTGCGCAGAGCCGGCTGGTCCCCGGCGACGCCGGCCGCAGGGCAGGCGGGAGCGCAGCGGGGCAGAGCCCCAGCCGGTGTGCCAGCGCCGGCGGGAAGGTGGAGTGCGAAGCAAGGAGAACCTCGGCGTGCCCGGGGCGGCTCCGAGGAGCGAGAAGAGCTCGTTCCTGCGGCTGCGCCAGCGCGGCCCGTCCTTCTGACCGCTGTTGGCTCTGGGGCTTTCTGCAGCCCCTTTGGTGCCGGGCGCCCGCAGTTCCCCACGTGGGTTTTGTTATTCCCCGGTCGCAGCCTTTGCTGTGTTTCCAGCACAAAACTAAACGCCGTTTCCGGGCCAGTGCTCCCGTTTGCGTTAGTAGGTGGTGGACTGGGGGGGGTGGTCCGTGCAGGAAGGGCGGTGTTCTCGGGATGAAGGGTGGGGGAGCGTTCCCCTCCGTGCCCAGCGGGCCCCTTAGGAGCTGAAGTTAACTTTCTTCTTTCCGTGCTTTTTTTGACCAGTTCTGCGCATCCTGGGCTGAATTTTCCTGTCTTGTCGCTTCCAGCTCGACTTGGCGGATCTGCAGAAGGAGCTGGATAAAAGCCAGAGCGTGTTCCCCGAGAACCCCTCCGTCTGGGTGAAGGACCTGGCCGGCTATCTCAACTACAAGCTGCAGGCGCCCAGGAGCGACCCCATGCTCAGCCAGCACCCCCACGGTCAGTGGTGTTCAACCTGCCCCGCTGCCGGGGCTTCGCTCTGGAGCGGCTTCGTGCTTCGCAGGGGCGCGCGGAGCAATGGGGCGGGCGCTTCTCCACGGCCGGGACAGCTCGGTGTGGTCCTTAAAACCAGGCGGAGAAGGGCGGCGGGGTGAGGGGGCAGCCGGGCACGGGGAGCAGCTCGGGACGGCACCCGGGAAGAAGCAGCCTCTGACTGCTCCCCCCCCCTTGGGCAATCTTACAGAATCGTTTAGGTTGGAAAAGACCCTTGAGGTCATCGAGTCCAACCGCCTTGGTCCCAGCAGGAAGACTTTAGAATCATAGAATCATTAAGGTTGGAAAAGACCTCTAAGATCATCGAGTCCAACTGTTGACCCA